TAAAACATGATAACAATAATACTAAAACTGATATGACTTTAATCCTTTTTCATTGCATGATATTAAGTTATAATCTGGTATTTTTACCTTCTGGCAGGTTAAAGGATTTGAATACTTCTACTACTACTATCAAAAGAGGTATCAATCATCTATCCACAATTATTAGTTTAAAGACAACATACCTTTGAATCAAATAGTGTCCCAAACACTAAAATGAAGAAACCCTGAGGAAAATCAAATAACACGCATATTTATTTAACATCAAAGACATTGACAAAAATAGGTATTATATAAAAATACTGCTATGTAAGAACAAGTTGTTATTTTGTTATTTTTAAAGGTTGCAAATACCTGTAGTGAATTGAAGAGTGCAAAGACAATGTGGAGTCCTCTATTTGTCGAATCTAGCATGGTCCCCACTCCTAAAGACCAGGTCAGTCCAAATAAAGGAGTCAAAATGGCCACACACCTTAGAATGACAACCAGCGTATGCCTTTCCTCTTTTTGGCCGGCGTCTCCCACGCCTCTTCTTAGCATTTTGAACAGGACCACGATTACGATAATTATGTTGATACAAACTATAGATAAGGCAGGTATCACAAACGCCAACAGGGCCCTTGTTTGCTCCCAGTTAAGCCAGCAAGCCTCTTTGTTCCTGATGTATCCTTCTCCTGGTGCTGTGACGGCAACAGTAACAACAGCTATGATCAGAGGGCACCCGTAGCCTAATAAGAAGCCAATAGCCAACATGACTGACTTGGACATGTGGGAGAAGACCATGACTGTCCGGTAAAATAGCAGAAGGCCTGAAACTAGCATCCAAAAGAACACCGCAAGGTAAAACAAGTGCATAAAAAATGTTGCTGTGCTACAAGACTCAACTGGAACATTAAAGTTCTTGTTCTCCGGGTTTTCAGCTGGGTTGTCGGCAATGTAGGCTCCAATGATAAAACAGATGTCAGCGATCAACAGAGAGAGGGCAGCGTTAATGATGGAAACATGACGCATGAAGGCAGTGCTATTTTTAGTTATGGCTTTCCAAACGTATCCTTCAATAATTAAACATATAACTAAACTTGCCAAAGAGATCCCAACTCCAACGTAGGTGATTAGATCCAAGAGTTCTTTGAATTCTTTAGGGATACCAGTTGACATCAGAATTGAAAATGAGGTGAGATGGTCGCATCTGCAGGTTACTGTGTCATTTATATCGGAAACAAACTCACACCCGTCACTATCCCAAGCCCCCCTGTTGTCAAACAGTTTAAAGTTCCAGAAGACACACTGAGGATCTTGCGTCAGAGTCGTGTTTAACTTGGTGTAGCTTAAAGTAACGTTCCGAATTGTTTCATTTACTTTGATCAGCACCACAGCTGCGTTGAGGGCATTAACGGGGTCAGTGTTATTGGTGTTGAAGAGGCTGGTGTTAAAGCTGTAGTTCCGTACTGGCATAACATTATTTAGGGTGAAGAAAGTAATAGTGGTGATAGAGACGTTGCTAAAGCCGGTGTTAGAAATGTTCAGGACAACGTTGCTGTTCAGATTTGCGGAGAACGAGTCGCCAAAGGTGCTTCTGTTAAGGAGGATTGCAGCAGTCTCAAAGGTAAATGTCCCAACTATTTTATGAGAGAGGAGTTCCATCGAACCCAGTAAATGAGAGCTTGCGTTGTTGCTTTTGTTTGCATTCAGAGCTGTCCAGGACTCTCTTGAATCATCACCAATAATGTCATCAACTGTTTGAAGGACACTCTGCAGATGAAGAGAGATTTCATTGTGAGGTTACATCCGCATCAAAAACATATACGTGAACAGCTCTATAAGAATCAGTCACATAGACTCCGATACACATTTTGAGTTATGTACATAACTGGAAAGAGGAGATTCTTAGCTTTCCGAAGATATCCCTATTGTTTTTGTTTTGCAAATATTCAGCGAAATATCAAGATAAGATTTTTTTAAAAAGGCCTTCAAAGTGGGTGGTCATTGAAAGAGGGGGCTCAAGTTCAGGACAAAAGTGCGACCGAAAGTAGGTGTGTGTGTGTGTGTGTGTGTGTGTGTGTGTGTGTGTGTGTGTGTGTGTATATTTTCCGAGTGGGGTAATTTATTTATTGTATAAATGTGATATAAAAGATTGATATTCTGGAAGCCAAGACATTGTTTTTTTAGAATCAACTAAAACCCCAATTGCAATGCCCCGTTGCGACATCCGACTGGTTTCAATAGAGCAGTTCACATATTTGTTGACATAAAAGACATATCTAAACTAAGATAATGCTGATGGGAAGGTTTAACCTACCTTTATGACAGGTTTATTGACTTCCAGAGTAACATCTGCAATGTTGCCCAGGATTTCCACGATAGTTGATATGGTATTAGGTTCCTTTGTTACATTCTTAATATCTTTGACCACTTTACTCAGATTCCCCACAAAATCTGGGACATCCTCCACCTGCAATGCCTAAAGTAAATATTGAAAACACATACATTTATATAATATAATATAACCATGACAAATACAGAGATGTTTCTTTTCTGGCAACAGCTGCACATTTTAAGCCACAAAAGTACAGAAGAGGCTAAAAGAATGTGGTTGTGTGAGGGATGGCCGTGTGCTTTGATACAGGGTACTACCATTTGGAGACCTATCCCATATTAACTTTAATGTTGTTTGTTTTGAAACATTGTAATAACAAAAATATTGTTTTTAAAATATTTTATGGATGTATGTCTTTTATATATTTATTATGCATAGTTGGAGGAGCCTGGGACTTAAGATGTTCATTGCCAAAACTAAACTGTAGCTATTTTGCACATACCAATAAAGACTGTGAATCTTTGAATCTTTAGTCTACTTAATCTGAACCACAGTTTGGAAAAGTTTGTCCATCTTTGTTGAAAAAGTATTGATATTTACGTGAATCCTGAAATTGATGATTTACTAGAGGGGAGGCGTATTACTTTGAAACAGTTACAGCTGATATGCAGTGGTGTAAAGTTACTAAGTACATTTACTCAAGTACGAATTACTGTACTTAATTACCATTTTGAGATACTATTCTTTACATTTGATGCTACTTTGTACTTGTACTTTTATTTGAGTAACATTTGCAATGCAGGACTTTTACTTGTAACATAGTATTCCTACACTGTGGTATTTTTTTACTTTTACTTAAGTACAAGATATGAGTACTTCTTCCCCCTCTGCTGATACGACCTATGATTGTGTGCTGCAGGAGTAGCCAGTAAAAAAAAGCATTTCACAACACATCTGCTCTGCATCTGTCGGGGGGGGGGGGGGGGGGGGGAGTATATTGGAGAGAACTGAAGAGAACTTTAGGATTTAGCCTTTGCAGACCATTTACATGCACCAAAACTAGATAACACATTAAAGGAAAGGGAAACCCTCAAAAAGCATAATAGGGCTCCTTTAAAGATTAAAGAAGTGTTGCTGCAGAGCCACACTTTATATAAAAACAGTGGTCAGTTAGTTACAAGAAGTTACTGGACAGCAGAAGCCGTGATGTAATGTGCTGATGTTGGTCGAAAACGTGGGTTTTTTACAACAATACAAAATATTATAACAAATTAGCTTGGTACATTTTTTCTCACTTTCTCACACGAATGTACTTCAGATGAAATAAAATACATACTAAATGAAACTTCTCACAAGGTCAGTGGATTATCTTGAGCAACTGGTAATGATTTCTGCTGTTGAGTTGATTTATAAGAAACCTGACGTTTAGATTTTCTTTGTGCTTTTGTTGAACAGATGGTGTCTCAGAGTTGACAGGTGTAGTTTGTTAGAAAGACAATAGTTCCTAGATACAATTGTTGCACAAAATGGAATGTCTGGTTTCGTAGAACTAGTGAACATAGGACAGTTTTTTGAATAACTTGATGGTATACTGTGTGTTTTATAGATTTAAAATGGGGATGAATTGTTATCCCCAGCTGATCACTTACCTCTGAAGAAACAAGCAAGTCCTTGATTACTTTGATAACGCAAGTGTCCTGTACCAATATCCACGTTCCATTATCACACTTCGCAATATTTTCCCCCACTTGACCTGGAGGACATTCTATACTAGATTGTTCGCCTTCTCGTCCATTCCCATACACACCTTCTGTACATGTAAAACCTTAGGAGATATATAATAATCATTTAGTATTACACAAAATATTGGGGGAAAAGACTGCAAAAGAAAAGCATAGTCACTTTTGAAACATTGCACTTACGTTCTTCGGAAATGCTCAATGTTGTTACCCGTCTATAATCGAAATCAACGACCTTACAAGTAAATGTTAGTGACGTTGGTGTACCGCAGGCTCCTAGCGTGTATTCATACTTGCGACAGAATGAGGTTCCATTTTCAGTAACACCAGCATCTGCGAACATTTAACATTGTTAATAAAATAAACTGTTATTGGATGTGTGTTTTCAGTATGGTCAGATTGAGAAGTTTTCTGAAACATTTTAAACTTACCAAGAGCAAGTGAGCCAATAGGAGCAAGTGAGTCTCTAAACCACTTCACCTTAAAAGGGGACTGCACACAACACTTAAGTGGTACTGTTTGTCCCTCCAGACATTCAATGTTTATTTGACGCTTTGATACTATGATGGGAGCTTCTTGGATATCATCTCCAATCACGTTCCTTTTTTGTCTGAACTGCAATACGTCGCCCATCAGAGTGCATTGGTAAGGTCCTGTGATTAAGATAATAAAAACAATGATTACATTGGTATGCTGTAAAAAAAGTTAAAAGAATGATACCATTAGTATATTAAATAGTGAACATTCCAGTCCAAGCAGCAAATTAATTTGTCTATTAACATCAATTAAAAAAGCTGTTATTTTACTTATTTTTACTAGCTTTTGCTTACCAGTATCCAGAACATCGGCTTTCTCTATTGTTAGAACAGACCTTGTGTTCGAATTTTTGATTTTTCTCCTTCCAGCCCCCTCAATTACCCTTTCATGAAATGTCCACTCGACACTACTTATTTGTCCCACATTAATGCTGGGTTCGCACACCAGTGTCATGCGATATCCATTATAAATTGTGTCGTTAATCCTTAATTTATCTTCACCTTTGGAGAAAGAAAAACACATCAGTTTGGTATTTATACAAGTTAAACAAAATGTAATTACCTATATTAGCTATGTTGGACTTACTGTTGTACAATGCAATGACAGAGCCAATGACAGGGGCAATAGTAGAGTTTACTGCTTTTGAAAATGCTTTATTTGCTTCAGCCAATTCTTCAGTTTTAACCTCTGTAGTCTCAACAACAAAATCTGTAAATATGCTTCCTTCTCTGTAAGAACAAACACAAAACAAAATGGTGGTGTCAAATGTGTAAAGATTTCCTGCCTCCATATGTCTTAAATGCCAGAATTACCATACCTGAATCCTGTCACAGAAACACCAATAAACCCTGTGATTCCTCCATACGTCTTGTTTAACTGTGGGAGAGATACGGTTCATAAAATTACCAATATAACTGAAAATACAAGTTACAATTTGATATGGTATTTATCAATGCACTTACCACTGCTTCCATGCTGTCTTTAAGATTGTTGTATGCAACACTTGTTGGATCTTTCAAATCTTCTGTGAACGTCTTGTTTAATTGCACTGTCATTTCCAAATTGAACCCTATTTATTTGAAAAGAGAATAAAAACAAGATCAAACAATTCAGTTTGTTGTGATTTAAAGAATATACTAGCTAGACATGAGAAGAGAGGACACAATTGTGAATCATTTTTTAATTTGGTTTGCATGACTTGCAGATCAAGGGTATAAAACCCATGTCTCTATAAAATGCAAATATCCTTTTCAGCAACAGTGTTGAGATGTCATGTGGAAGGTAGCAATTAAATAGCCTGACCTATATTCAAGCAGAACTGCAATTTAGAATTCATCAATTAATTTATGAATGAATGACATATACGTCCATTTACACCCTGAGGTCAAAGCCCTTTTTTCACGTTTGGCTCGCCTGTGCTTTTTTTGTGCAGATGCTTTAAAAAATGAACCCTGTGCTGCATAATAAAGTAATATCATCATTTAAGACAAGCTTAGCTATCAGCATATGTAGGCTGCAGGGATGTCACATGAATACTATCACTCAGAAATATATTCAAAACCCACAGTGAAAAGTAGTTTACAAGACTCTTGACATCAGAAAATAGTTTCTTTCAAGTCTTGGTGACCAAGGGGAAAAGACAAAAATCCATATGTATTTACCAAAAAAAGGTAATGGAGATGTTATAAAGCAATGAGCTACATAGAGCCTGATAACTACATTTCTGTCAATAAAAAAGACCTTTCCCGGGAGCAGTCGTCGTTGTTAATGCAGGTGTAGCCTTGGTAGCAGCAGCAGTTGTTGGTTGAGTTATGAGTATTGTAAAACTATTTGGTTTCTTCAATTTCGTATGCTTAACTGTAATAAAGTAAGATCATCTGTAGAGGGAAACACCTTACGTGAAAGTGAATTACAGAAAATGTTCTACAAATAACAACCAGGGACGAGTTATCGAAACGCTTATTGCTAAAAACAGGTAATGATGGTGGTTGAAAGAGATGTTGTCGTTTGAAAGACTATTTTATAAAAGTGTGTTACTGTTGACAGTATGAGTCGAGTTAGTATAGCCTTCATCACTTGCTTTAAGACATTTAAACTGCACCGAAAGTATGTGTATCTCAAATACAATATACCATGGTGTGACATCTTGAATTACTCAACGACAGACTTGAATCATGCCCTCAAGCATTATCACAGTCTTTTTGTCATTCCACTATCCTTACCTCAGACTTTGATTCTGTCAAACTACCTGCTGTCTGACATGTGCAGCAAATGCAAGCTTGTAGCCCTCCTTGGTTACATCAATTATGCCATTTGCCATTCCTCAAGCAAAATCATTCCTGTCCGACCTGCATAAAGCTGCAGTCCTCCCTAACTCTATAATAGAGTTGTTCTGGAAGATGCATGCAAGATGGAAAAGTGTCTTTGGCAAGATTTGTTGTCTTGGAATTGCATCTCCTTCTTCTACGAGCTCTTTATCGCCAAACCTGAGGATATTGATCTCGCCTCACAGGCCCGCTTGTCTTTATATTTGCTCCATGTGCTAGAAGGCATTTTTATAGCTGTTGTTCTTTGGTGGTCTAGGAAATCCATACTCGTCCACACAGAAAACACACATTGATCCTTCATGTAGATCCTTAAAATGTATATATCTTGTTCTTTAGACATCATGCAGCTCCCGCGCAGACTTACTTGAATCTCAGCTCAACACCAGTTCATTCTTTGGGCATCCCACATTTCTGGTTACCACCACATCATTGCTGATTCATTGTATTGTTTCTCTTTCCAGAATATCAGACAAGTCCCAGAATCGGATCTCCATCCCATACCAGTCCTACCATTAAACTAGTCACTGGCCAACACTCTCTTTTTACTTCCCATTCCCATGTTTCGCTGTTGACCAAAAGCTTACAAAAACAGGCACCTGCTCTTAACGTTACACAACTACCACTCACTTCTGACCTTTTCAGCCTTTGCATCTGTTCTCTAAGCTCAGGCTACATGTCCCCCATTGTTGATATAACCTCAAACCCCATTTTTTCTTACCGAAACAGGAATAATGGCCTAATGCTGTGGTTCTCAAACTCTTTCTGTCAGGCCCTCCCTTTGGAGAAAAGAAAAAGTTGGGCCCCCCCAACACAAGTCAGGCTCAGTGGCGGCGCCAGAGATTTATTTTGGGGGTGCTGTGGGGTAGCTTGACGTTTCATAGAGGGTGGTCAAACATTTAGGGTTTCCCATTAATGTACCGGGCGCTACAGTGGAATTTTCAACTGCAACAATCCCCACGCATATACACAATGTACCCGCGACTGTTACAATGAAGGCTCGATAATCAGCTCACGGCATATAGGTGTAAGCAGGGGTAAAGTGCTATTGTTATAGGTGGTGTGTGGACCTCACACAGGGGGTCCGGGGGCAAGCTCCCCCGGGAAGATTTATTTTTAAATATTGAAGTTAAATGCATCAATCTGGTGCACTTTGAGAGCAAAATGAAGAGATCTATGGATACCTCTCTCAACACCCATATGAAACAGAACTGTAAACAGATTTACTTTTTCTTTATGGATATTTTACAAATCACCCTTTTAAACGTTTTTCTTTTTTTACTGTCATATAGTATTTCATACCTGTTTTTCATTTATTCTCTTATTTTTTTATAACTATAATGATCATATAAACGTGTGCCTCGGAAATAATTGTTTACATTAATGGTGACCAAAACGTTTGAGACCCACTGAGATAACACTGAGAGAGTCCTTTAGCTCAGGGGTTCCCAACCCCCGGTCCGCGGACCGGTACCGGGCCGCAGAGGTGTTACTGCCGGGCCGCGAAATAGCTGTGAGTTTATCGTAATATTTGCAGAATTATAAATATATAAAAATATTTTATCATAATATTTTTTCAAAAAGTGTTTAATTTTCGCACCTATGCCACCAGTCATATTATTTCATCCAGTAGCTAGTTAATCTTTCACCAGAAAACCGTTGAAAATGGCTTTTATGATGAGGGATTCGGCGGCTCAGCCTTATAAGGTGCGCACGAGCATGTTACCGATGCGCCAAGTAGGAAGAGGAGCGCACAGGAGACAACCGTTTGATTGCAGACTGTTATGTTTATGTGGGGAAATGGTGGTGCATACATTATTTGAGATATATTTCAAACTCGGACTTCATTTTAAGGACATGTCGGCCAGGGGTGTAGAGCTATTTGTTTAAGCACCGGATTGGCAAAACAGAAGAGTAAACCAGTCTGCCTTGATCTATGAATTAATGTCCGGGACTCTCACGATCTGCTGCCCGCAGCTGCTTTATAGAAGGAAACCCTCCTTCACTTCTTAAAACGGCTGCAGCATCCGGAGGCAGCGGCACGTATACTCCGCTTCTGAGAAGTGCAGCACCAGTATGACTGTGTTTAACTTCATCAGAACAGCTTAAGAGTGACTGCAGGCTGCTACGTGTTAACCACACACACCTATACACACACATCTACACACATCGAACTGCCCGATTACTCCCCCTTTTATTAGTTTTATGAAGGAGATGTCCAGTCAGTCACCAAGGCGCATGATGTGTGTGTGTATGTGCTCTGCTCAGCTCAGCTCTGTGTGTTCGGTGTGTTTGTGTCTGTCCGACACCGGCATTTGTTTTCAAATGTTTATGAACAGTAATTTACACACATATGGCTAACTCCATATATGCGGCTGTTCCCAAAATAAATTAGTTTAATCTTAATCTCGATGTAGTGCTAATGCTGTCGGAGTGCACCGGAACGAACGACACTATCATAATATCTTCTGAAAACAAATGCCAGTGTTCATAATGCGGCTTCTCCTCGATTTCCCAGCATTCAATGGATTATCCGTAAATCATACAAACAAAACCAAAACGTTAATTTATCTGTTTTCCCGTTTTGGTTTAAAAACTGAATAACGTCGGTTTTTTGGTTTTCCGAAAAACCAAAAAATGACACCGGTTCTTTTTTAAACTTTGTTAATATGTTTTGGATGCATATTGTTCTAGTATTTGTTCAGGCTGTTACATACAATTAGCCTCTGTTGCTACCTGCTGGTGGTGAGTAAATATTAAAATCAGTTAAAATTGACAACCGGTCCGCGATTTTTTTTTAATGTATCTGCCGGTCCTTGGCACAATAAAGGTTGGGAACCCCTGCTTTAGCTCACTGAGTCTCTCAGTCTGACAGGAGAGGACTCTCCTCCACTTTGTTGTTGAAAAAACTCCTTATTAGCGTAGCTCGCTAGTAGTTATATTCATACTGTTTCAATCACATTAGTATGCATACAAAGTGACAGGTGCTGGGACAGGTCACACCTACTACTACTTATGCTAATGACCTCCTTTGATATGCTAATGAGCCCCTTTGTTCGAGGTGTTATCACGTGTAGGTGTGATATCACAGATAGGTGTGATATCCTTTGATATGAGGGGTGAGGTGTTGTAACATGTAGGTGTGATATTCCCCCTTGTAGTAGATCATTTGTTGTCTAATCTAATTAGCCTTTGATGTCTGCCCTTTGTTGTCTAATCTAATTACCCTTTGATGTCTGTCCTTTGATGTGAGGGTGGTGAGGTGTTGTAACATGTAGGTGTGATATCACACCGGCGTGTTATAAGCCTTTGATGTCAATCTAATTAGCCCTTTGATGTATGTCCTTTGATCAGTGTTTGTAACTAGTGTTAAGGCAGTCTCTTTGAAGTTGTGTGAGACTGTCTCGCACCCCCGTCCTCCTCCCACCCCGTCCCCCTCTCACCTCTTCTGTCACCCCCCTTCCTTTTGCTGTGATGCCAGAAGATAGTGAGGGGTGGAGTTAGGTAAAAAAGAAATCCTTGCAAACTAGATAAAAAGCCAGTCATTTCCACTCACCAAGTCACGTAAACTTCCAAAAAAAGAAAATGGCAAAGAGACGCATCGATATGGGTTTAATCAGCGAGACGCCTGTGACAACTTACCGCCATCAGTCGGGAGCGCCAGTCAAGAAACGGATGCAGTATCTGTGCCGGGTTCAGACCCTCCGTCTGAGGCTCTTCATGAAAAATGGAGTCTGGATGTGTGAGACTGTCTCCCATAACACCCCTCCCACCCCTCCCCTCCCCCTGCCTGTCACCTCCTGATTTTGCTATCAGCCATTAATTCTCATTCACTAAGTCACCTAAAAAATTAGATTAGTTTTTAATATGATTTATGTTAACTATGGATGTTCTCTTAAGTTGTATGGCTTGTGAACTCATGTTTAATTACTTTACTAACTACAAGGGACTCTCTTTTT